TCTTTGTTGAGCAAATTCCAACACCTAAACTCCAGCTTCCTGAGATGGAGAAACATGTTCTGAGATCAAATTAATGAAACATTTCTAAGAAAACTTCACAAATAGTAACTAACAGGAAGCCGAGCAGTATTCAAGCCAAAACTCATCTTCTGGAACTGAAGACAATGTTTTTTGTGTCAGTAGTTTCATTGCAATGGCAGATTCCCATAGTGGAAATATGTATTATTATATGTGAAAAAATTATATGTAATACAGTATATAAAAAAATTTACTGTATTAAATATGAAATCACAAATAAAACCTTACCTTTTACTCACACAAGGCTCATTTAAAATGAAAAGTTTCATAAATTTGAACAAGTTGGATAATGTTCCTTTTTTGTGTAATACAAACCACATAGATGTAATTGACACTTACTAGAAAAAGTTGATATGAAGGTAACAGTTCCATAATAACAAGTGACTGTGGAGAAAGCTGAAGTAATCACATTCTTGCACTTGTTGTCTTGAAAGCAGACAGGTCACATTTCTACAGTATATGTAATTTTCTCTGAGACAAGTGTTGATGAATCTGTATTTTCCAAAGTACAACTGGTGAGCGTAAGGACATTGCTTCCGTGGCTTTGTCAGTAGTGTCCTTGTCAAATAAGTAGCTGTAAAATATAACTAGAACAGCCTGGGATTTTCTGGGTGGTCTATGTTTTGGGCTCTGAAATGCCTTGACTGTAAACTTGTACAGTAAATGCAGTACCCTGTGTGTTGTAAGTTTATTTTGTGTGTAGAGAAGTGTGTCACTGTCATTGTTAATAAATATTTGTTTAACAAAGTGTGCCTGAATAATTATATTTGCTGTGCCGGAGAACACAAAGGCACATACCAACCATTCAGGTATTATTCTGGAGGAAGCGCTTTCAAGATGGAGGTTATGAATATTTATTTTAGGACTGACTAATCTGCTTGATCAGTCCCATTTTTGAAACCCCCCTATTTGTAGCAATATTACTTTGGTTCTTCTATGTGTGTCCTGTATTTTGTTTGTGTTTCTTAATAACAGATAATGTTTCATGAAAAAAAGAACTCAACGAAATGAAACAAGAAAGATCAGAAATCAAACGTTACATTACCTGTTATATAATACAATTAATGGAAATGAGAAAAAAACATTTTTGCCATGTGTCTTGCGGTCACAGCTGCTCACTGGGCTTAAGTTATTTTTTTCTTTTTCCAGGGCTTTCATTTAAGGAATCGGATCAATCAGTATTGAGATGAACAAATGAATTGTTGTTCCCATGTTTTACAGAGGTGTTAATAACAAAACCTGCAAGACAGCTGCCTCCCTGGGCCCTGGATTACCTGCTTGTGCAAGGGTGTTCTGGATAATAGTGTTAATAAAGTGGTCCCCTCTGTTTCCGCTGCATCACTCACCTCACATGGTATTCTAGTAGGAAGGACAACCACTGATGATCCGACCGGTGGTGACTCAGAAGAATATTTTTTTATGAGCTTTACTTCCTTTCCAGCTGCTCTTCCTGATAGAGAACTGGATTGCAAAGAACTCTGTGTACCTACAGGCACAAATAAATATACAGCACAATATTAAACATTTTTTACAAGTTAGTATAAAATGCTTTAGGTACTGTACATCACAATTTCTTACAAAGGAATGGTGAACTAATTCCAGGACATTCCATTTATATTAAATTAAACCATGCAACGTTTTTGTCACTCTGGGGGACTAAGAGTGTAAAATAAAAACATTGACACTACAGTATGTTGTAAGTGTGTTTGTCTCTATGACAACAGCCCAGAATGGAGTGCTTGTGTGCTGTATACTATGTTTGTAAAACAGAACTATTGTCTTCACATTTCACACTATGATACACCCTGTACCATTGGATTCTGACATTTTTTACAGAGAACAGAAAAATTCACGAAACAGGAAGCCTTCATTGGTAAGGGAGCATAAAACATTTTGATTTGCATGTCTGTCAGGAAAAGTGAACATCAACAAGCAGGGAACGTTGCCTATTTGCATGTGATTTGCCATCTGTACACTTCTGCAGAATAATGTGCCTTTTACATGCATTAGTAATTTAAGAAAAGTGCTCCAGTCCAGTGTGAAACAATGTGAATTCTGTTTTTAAGTTATTGTGGCACAGTAGTTAGCAATGTAAACTGTTGAGAAGCAAGATTTTGTCAAAAAACATGAAATATCTTTAGTGTACTTTTTCAAGAGCCTTGCTATTTAGGCTATGGCTATTCATTTCCCAAAGTAGCTTAGGAAATTTAAAAATTTAATCCTGGATAAAGTCAACAATTTCTTAAAACATAAACTACATAATCAAAGCATCGCTGGGTTTTACTACAGCATGTTTGGAATCTCAAGTTAATTCATACTTATGAATATTACCTTATTTCATTAATTTTTATCCTTATATTATATCATTTTTATTCAAACAAAATACCAAAAGTCATTAAGCAAGGTATTTACTGTAAATGAAATATAAAGCATAGCTCTCACTAAAATTAAGCACAGAGGCCATAATCAAGTTTCTGGTCAAGAAAGACAGAAATTCTACTGCGATTCATCATACATGTAGTAATGAAGCCCCTAAATTCTAAAGCAAGGTCTAGAGAACCTGCCATGATGACTGAAGTAGCAGAATGCTCATCTTGGTCCAAGCTGCTAATATCATCACTGATGAGCTGATTGACTGAGGGAAGTTCATAATAATGACAGATCATTACATCCGGACAAAATGGGAGGTGAGTGTTTTCAATGGTCAATAATTGTTGGTCATCCATACAAGAGGCAAGTAGATGAATGTCCTTAACCTCAGTGCCCAAGGTCAGCACCAATGGAAAAAAATAGTCATCAGGATTTTGTGAATTCAGTGAATTTACAGATAGTGAGACAAGGATCCGACATCTCGAAACCAGCAAGAGTCCCTCCTATCCAGAATGTTTCATAATAAACCATCAGTTGGCAAATTCACAGAGTGAATTTAGAGAGTCCTAATGAGTGACTACTATATACAGTATGTCACACAAAGCAGTATTACTGGCCAGTATATTAAGCTCCTAAAAAATAAAAAAACCACAAGCAGAAAAGGAAGACAATGTTAACCATAGGTGTACTTCAGCTTTGAGACAAGATGCCTTTGCATCTATCTGTTTAGAAATCTCAGGAATAGCACCTATTGTACAAAGATTATAGATGAAGAAAGCGTAAGGCTCCCATTTAGACTTGACATAAGACCGCCTGTATTCTACTTTACTGAAACATGGGCAAACAAAACTCAAGTCACGAGTAATGCAGAAAAGTATCTGACACGCCTTCTGGATAAAACCAGAACCTGCATTGTAATTAATAGAATATATTGTAATTATACCATATAACTGTTAATACACTCCATTTGTTTTAGTAATCATATACAGTAGAAGTCCACAATATTTTTACAGTTAAGCTCCAAGTTAAGTTCTAGTCTGACCCTTTAGTTTTAAAAATAATGAAATGTCAGTTTTGCAACAATTACCAAAAGCCTTTTTGGGCCCCTAACTGCCCTCTCTGTCATCATTAAAAACACAATTAAACATGAAGTTGAATTTTAAAAGTCAGATTTAAACTAGGTTTACTTCAGGAATTTGGCCAGGGATAAATAAAACATGCCCATTTTAACTTTAAAAATCCAGTGCTGTACATTGAAATGACATTCATATTGGTCTAAGGAAGTTGCTTTTTATACAGTAGATTTGGAATTTAGAATGTGTTGATTTGAATTCTTTATTTGATGCTATTGAGTTAGCGGAATTTTAACTACCTTAGATAAAACTGAGATCAAAGACATTTATCTTGCTACCCTCTTATCTGTTGCAAAATAAAAGGAAGATATCAGCTGCTGTATACCTCATCACAGTAATTCTTTTTGTTTAGTAAGAACATCAATATTTATGATCTGAGCCACATTTTATTTTTAATAAGCAATAAATGTTTATATATCTTTTAAAAACGTGCTTTCAGGTACATACTGAGGTTACGTTAAAGAGATTTTATGCAGCTAGAATAATTACTTGCTCAAGCACATACTGAGATAATCAAAATCCAAGAAGAATAGAACAGTTCCTGTCAGGGTGTGTTTCAAATCTGCATGGCATTGTAATTATCACCACAGGTCTCTGTGATTTAAAATTTAAAATTAAATCATAAAATAAATACAGCTGATTAAATGTTAAATTATTTTACATTTTGATGTCACAAGCTATTTTCAATTTCAGTTATTTCTTATTATGCTTTCAATAACTGTTAAATTATTTTTTATACAATGCAACATGTCAATTTGCAATTTGATTGCACTAAAGGCAGCGGAACCTCTCGTTTTAAAATCATCAGCACATTAGTGACCATGAACAGACTTAAGATCACAAAGTCATGGACTGTCATTTTTTAACTACTTTCATAACAGTTCATAAATTGTATAACAATGAATTTGAATCATGAATGACTAATCAAACGAGTTACAACCCTATTAATTCTCATTCCTATTCACCAAACATATATAATTGTCTTAATTAAAGTTTTACTGATATGCTAATGTATATTAAAACAGAATGGTAATAACAAATTACTATTAAAATAACATTTAAGACAAAGCAGTTGAAAATATAAAGCATCAGGCACAATCTATGTGGTAAAATATTAGATCCTACCAACACATTTTCCTTATTCAAATAAAGACTTCGTGCAACAAAGGTATGGGGATGTGATGTTAAACAAAAATCTTTTTCAACAAGCCCTGGGTGAATTCATAATATGAAACGTGATAAGGCTTATGAGACACACCAGCAGAGCTGGTGATTACACTATTTCACAATGCAAAACCTACAGTATGTTGTGCAGCAGAACAGACAGTTATTCACAGAAAAGAGTATCTACCTATGATTTCAGGGACTGAAGGCCTTATTTTTGTAGGTTGAAATATATGCATACGTTTAAGTAATTTCTTTGTAAAGGAACTGATTGTTTATTTTGCACACCGACGATTTATAAAACACAGAAGAAGCAGGTTTCTTTCACTGGCAATTAAAATGATACCATCATGTCTTCAATGAGATGAACATTTGGAGTGCTTTGCAGATCACCAGAAGCAACAAAACACAAAATTGTTAGCCAAGATACATTTTTTATTTTTGTATGCATTTCTGGCGATCTAGCATTAAATGAAAAAGATAAAATACCAACTCCACAAATACATTTGCACATTTTAATATACAGTATTTTAATCTTAATGTATAGAACACAGGCCCAGTTACCTACAAATTGAATGACAGCAGGAAACAAACAGGCAAAGGCACCCCATATCTTGAAGGGAAGATGCAACAGAAGAGATTTTGCTTCCTGAGGTTGTTGATTCCCTTGATTAGATCAATGAATGCTGGACTTCAAACATATTCTGAGTATAGTAATTATTTTTTGGATCATATACAACGAATACAATGGGTAACAGGAGGCAAGACTGAAAATATACTCTTTGCAGAATCAAATCTTTTGAGATCCCTTTTGTCTTGAGATTAAAAGGCAATTGTGCATGTTACAAATGAATGCATTCTGGAATACCATTGTACTGTACCTTTCAATTGGTCAGATGTTTTTAGGACTTTGTCCAGGCAAAGCAGCACATACTGTAGAGTCAAATGTTGACCTCATAGCAACCCTTTTTGTGAAGTGATCAGAATCATGCTGCCGCAGACAGTCTTTTCTGTTGTTGTCTCAAAGAAAATAGGTCATACAACAGATTTTTTTTCATAAAGAAAAAAGTTCATAAATTGTAAACTTATACTAGTTCATTTGATATATAAGCGTGTGGCAGTCTGGTCTTTCAGAGGATTGAGGAATAATTGCCATTTAAGGTCTCTATTAAATGTAAATAGTCTCACTAGGTGGTGATTAGCTAATTAAGTAGATAATTGGGCAAGGCTTTAGATTCTCACATGTGGATCAACCATTAATATTATGTACATAAAAGGCTCATGTACTGTATAAGTGGTGGTTGCGTTGTTTTAGTAGCAGGATGACTTTACACTATGTACTGTATCTTGAGGTACTTGTGACTGAAGACTCTTCAGTTGCAATTCCCGAGTTGCTGTGAGTTTTCTTATGTGTTCATACTCATTGAGCCACCTAATTTAGGTTTGGGCCTGTCACAAAAAATGGTATACTTGTTCAAAGGTTAAAGCACTTAATATCATACTAAACCTTGCAGAAATCAATAGTATTATTACAGACACCTTGTTATTCCTGGTACAGGTGTACAATGGTCTGAGCACACACTGCTGATATCACCAGGCTAGAGTGTTCAATCCCTGTCTGGTTCTCATTAGGAAGAGGGATGACCGAGCCACCCTACCCATTACCAGGCTGTGGGAAGAGCTCTCACCCCCATGAGCAGAACTACTTACAGTAGGTTGATTGGCCATGTCTTTTGTACAGTAAAAGTCCAGATACTTTCGAAAGGCTGTTTGCATTGGTTTGCAGTTTAAAATAGTGTGTGTATATATACAGTATGTACTGTATATACTTCTGGAGACAAATGCTCAATACACAGTACCTTAGGCTTTGAAATCATAGCAGAAATACGCAAGCATTCAGAAATTATATTATAGCCTCATTTTATTACAAAAAAACAGCTGTTTTACTTTTCATCACCATGTAACTTTTCAAATGTTGTTTTGTGTCCCTGTTCAGTTTTATAATTACCATAGTGAGACATCATAGTGTGATTCAAGCTGTACATGTATAAGAAAAATGCAACAAAAGATTCTGAAAAAACATTTATCTGCTGGCCTTTAGAATATCCAAGTTTAAGAAGGAAGCTATGTGTGTGCAAGCAGAATTTCAACATCTGTTTTAATCAGAAGTGTGTATAAGACAGATGGCAGGATGTTTGTCAAAGACTTTCCATATTAATCTCTGTTTGTTTATTTGTTTTTCTGCTTCAGTTACATTTCAGTATACAGTAAATCAAAAGGAGGTACTGTATGAAAGTTTGGTAGAGTAAAGTAAAACTGATAATCTATCTCTTTCTTTCTGCGGTAGCTAAAATTCTGAACCTGTTTTGTTAAGCCAGACACTGGTTCAGTTGACCAACCTCGTACCTCAGCAGTGCACTTTATTCCTACTGAACCTGTTTAATGAACTACCATCAGCCTACATGTCCAGCACCTGGGACACCCCTCAGTATAACATGAACTGAGCCTCACAAGCTTGTAAGCCAGTTCAACCTGCCTCTAATAAGAAATCTCCATTTATGATCTCACTCTTCCACTTTCCAGGCTAGACGCAGACTGAAACCCTTTCCCTTTTAGCTTGTCTTATACCAGAGAGGCTAATTCCAGGTAATTCCAACAGCTCCTTTACCTCACTTGGCAGTTTACTTCCTCTGAGTGCCAATTACTCATTCCGACCAGTTATACCTCATGTTACAATTAAAAGGCAACCATCTTGGCTCAAAGCCACTTCACTGGAACTCAGTTTTAAGCCAAGATGGTAGCTTTCTCAAAAAGTTACCATTCACAACCTTAATTATCTGTTGTAAAACTTGGATATGATCTGTATAATGTAGTACAGCTGTATGCTATTGTGTCATTTAAGTCTCACATAACATAACAATGTCAAGGGGATAGTGAAGGATGTATAGTTTCAAACTCACCTTGTAGAATTTGGGTAACAATGGTCAAGTATTCCTTGGAATCCTGATCACTTGAAATCTGGAAACAGTCAGATCCAATGGGGACCATATCAAACAGTGAGCTTAAGCTATCCACACCACACAGCAGTATCACTACGCTTTTGGAAGGTTGTAGGACTCTTGCCAGAAAGAATTTCCTGATTTGACAGAGCCCATCCAGCATTCCCTTGGTCAAGATGAGCAGCTTACACTTGTATTGACTGAGCTGCAGGAATTCTTCCTTCCTGATGGAAACTGTCCCAATGTTGTAAAAGCATATATTCTCTTCTCTGGTGCTTTTCAAAAAAACAGATTTCAAATAAGTCGCCCATTGTTCTGCCTCATCTTCAAAGATAATTAACAGATCTTGAGCTGCAAGAAAAATACAAAATGCATGACATGTCTGTGTGAAAGTTTGTCAGTCCACCTTTGTATAGCATATCAAAGTTTGTGTTCTAATAGATTTGTTTTTAATTTAGTAGATCTTCTCTCAAAGGAATAGCTGTTCAAAGTGCTACATACTGTAACAAAGTGTATTCATTAGAATTTTGATGTCACATCAAATATGAAACTACTGTAAGCACAGGGATAAAGATTTTTGTCATCGTAGTATTTGCGAAAGAGTTAATGATATTGGGAAGAAAGCCCTGAAATCTTTGATTCAAAATCATTAACAGAAACCAAGTCTCTGAATTGCCAGTTGACTAGATGATCATATGAACTCAAAGTGCTTTACAGGTAATGGGGACTTCCCTCCACCACCGCCAACGTGCAGCATCCACCTGGATGATGTGACTGCAGCCAATGTGTACCAGTATGCTCATGACACATCAGCAGGGAGAAGAACAGAGTATTGAAGCCAATACATAGATGAGGATTATTAGGATGCCATGTTTGGTAAAAAGGCCAAAAGGAAATTCAGCCAGGACACCGGGTCTATCACCTCCACTCTTTTTGAGAAATGCCTTGGGATTTTAAATGCCCATGGAGAGTCAGAACCTCAGTTTTATGTCTCATCTAACAGAGAATGACTTATTTAATATATAGTGTGTCCTTGTCACTATACTGGGGCATTAGGACCCAGACAGATCGCAGGGTGGTAAGTGTTCCCTGCTGTACCTCTTTCAGCAGCAACCTTAGCTTTCCCACTAGGTCTCCATCCAGGTACTTGTCAGGGTCACACCTGCTGAGCTTCAGGGGGCTGCCAGTCGTGAGTTACATTATGATATAGCTGCTGGCTACATGATTTGGGGCTATACACACACAAATAATCTTATATATTTGAAATGCCTATACAGTACTTGCAGAAAAAAAGGGTTTTATGCATCTTTCCTCCCTTCATGATAAATGAAAGCAATCCACAGACTCCATAATCCTGGATGAGCCAATTTAATAAACAGTGAGGAGCCTCCACCGTCTGCAAGGACCTCAAAGCAGGCATCCTCTTCATTGCCTGAAAGTGCATCCAGAATAATTCAGTCTGCTTCTATTGCTCTCAGTACTTCAATTGTTCCCACTACTGCTGTTTTGTCATCTACTTCAGCCATGAGCTCCACGGTATAGCTTTTGGCCTCAATTGCCTCTGGAATCTACAGTTTATTACAGATGTCTTACACAGGATTCAAATTGCAGTTGTCTTCCTTGTGGCTGGAATCCAATACAGAAAAATATTGACACCTTACCCACCTCCTGAATCTCATGCTCTACTCTTCATGCCTATTGTAGCATTTGCATTGGCCTCTGCTATTAAGGGTATAAATGTAGCCCCTGATGCAAAAGGTCTACAGGGTATTCAAAAATTTACTACATATGTAATCTGGCTTTCTCTTAGGCTATATATACATGCTCACCTTCCTAGTTTCAATTTAGAACACTCACTCCTAACACTACAGCAGTTCTGTCCGGTATAGTACATTTTATTTGAGATACCTCTTGCAGTAGTGATTATTATCTAAGTAGAGTTTTGCCCCTGATACTACAGATGCCATATCAATCCCTGCAAGAGCAGGTGTCCAAACCACGGGTCTAGTAGATGACAGATTATCTTTATTTTAACATTAATTTAATATCTGGGGGTTTGAACTCCCTTTTGTTTTAGCCCCATCGTGATATACTGTATGCAGCTTTGTGTGTACTTTCCAGCACCTGCACCTCGTGCATTTATTCTGACATACACATGATCAATTTTCCTCTTTAACCCACACTTTTCTCACTTCTCCACTTCTGAGTTGTGCGCATGCTTGCACACAATGGCTGCTGCAAATCACCCATGTGTGTTGTGCAGTTCAGTGGTGGATGAAGTGAAGTCTCCTCCTATATGTAAAGAAATCTGGGATCATTTTGAATGAGAATCAAAACTGTATATAAATGCAAGGTTTACAAATTGTTTACTTTCTTTGGATGTTTCAAGCTAGATGTATCTATTATTAAAACATACTGTACTGTACTATATCTTTGTTTGCCTGTTTGGGCTGAAAATGAATTTTCCATATATTTAGACATTCTTCTTTTTGAGAACAAATTTTCACTAGCTAATCCCATTCATTAGGCTTACATTTTAGAAAGGTAATTGCACAGTTTTTGTTTGAACCATAATACTAATCTACCTACTAATCATTTGCCACAGGCAACACCATTTACTATTTAAATTGCCAATCCCTCCAGTTTTCATTCATAAGACCCTAGTTTTTCCCTCTTCCCTCTGCCAAGGCAGTTATAGCACTTTTTGTTCCACTACCTGCTATTTCCTCAGATGCCTTGCTGACTTATTTTGCCTTCTCCTTACCGCAGAACCTAGTTAGTTAAATACTGCTTGATATTCTTTAGTACAGTATCTATCTCCCTCCTATACTCAGATGATCTTTCCCAAACCTACATTCACCTCTTTCATTCCTCTTCAGAGCCACATGTAAACCAGGTACAGTGAAGCTACTGTACCTTCCTGCAGCCCATGATAATCTTTCTTATCCTTTATTCTGTGTTGTTGACCCCAGCTTGTGTCCTGGTCCCTGTTCTCCCTGTTGGTCATGCTCAGTCTGTGCTTCAGCTGGCATCCACTCCCAGATGCTATCATCAGTGCCTTGTTTTCTGATTCCCTCTTCATCGGCCACAATAGGTCATTGTTCGTCACTGTTATATGGTAAACTGTACTGGAAGGTTAGACTTTTCTCCGCTTTTCTCTTTCCTTTACCATTGTCTCGTTAGATTTTTTTTCCACCTTTAGACAAGCAGTTTGCCTCTAAGCTGTGAGAACTTGATTTTGGAGTTTCTTCAGGGGTCATTTTCAGGGCTTATGCATGGAATTTTTAATTTATGAGTGACCATTATTAAGCACACAGAATTAATATGATATTTTGTAAAACATTAAAGCAATGTGCAAGTGAGACAGTTGTCATGTTAAAAGAAGCTTGAGGATGAGGTAATATCAAGAGCAAGAGTTCCTTTCTGGCTGAAAAGGTTTAAAGAATTTCTGGAGTAATGAAAACATTGAAAATTATTTGGTTCATTTAATTAACCGTGAGTGTAACAGCAGACGAATTAAATATAATAAAACAATCAAAACTTGAACATGAGAAATGTTACTGTGCAGATTGTGCCACATTTTGAGTGTGGATCTACACAAAAGGCTTGAACTGTCACACAGTGATTGGGATATACATCAGGGCCATGCTCTGGCATGCAATGAGCTTTCTGTGGAATTTTTTTGACCAAGTAAGATATGACCCAGCTTTATCACCTACTTTATTTGCCTTAGTTGGTTCTGTGTGATTTTAGCTGTTTCCAAATTTGACCCTACTCTTCAAGTTAAAGATGTGTGACCATTGAGGATATTCATGAGAATGTGACACAGATTTTGAAAACAAACTCAAAAGAGGAGTTTGTAAGATATTTTGAGCAAGGGCAGCATCATTGAAATTGGTATATACAGTACCTTTGCAAAGTGACTACTCTGAAGAAGACAGCAGTCATACATAAATTCTGGTATATTTTCTAAAAATCATTACTAAATTGTAAAACCTTATATTTGGTGTTATTTAAAAACATTGCGTGTTCAAAATTGGGTTTCCCTTTGTACCTTTGGAGTCCTGATAACCTCTTCTTTATGGTCAAGATATCATCCTCTTTCTCAAGCAGTTCAAGTTTGTCTCTCCAAATACTCACATACCCCTGTACTAAACTGTTGTGATAATTTTGGTCCATTTACGTTGACCTTGTGCTTGTATTTCTTTCTATTGGTAATTTACTTGAGTGATTTGTAGTTATGCTCCATACTAAACTCTAAATGTAGTATTGTTTCATCAATGGGAGTCATCTACTGGAGCTATACCTATACAGTATGTGTGGTGGTAATTGGATATTTAGAATGTTTACAATCAATGGTATTCCCTATTTTTTTAATCAGAGCATAGAAACTTCAAAATGTACTAAACTTTTCTTCTTTCTCTAATAAAACCCCTGTAACTAAGGTTAATAATTCAACAAATTAGTCATTTCCGAACATAATGAGCTGCTTTCTACAGTTGCATTGCATATAAGTTATCATTATCAATGAACTTTATAAGTGAACAAACAGTTCTATCATGTTTTTTGCCTACTTTTATTTCAACAAAATGTCAGAGCAGGTATCACTAATTATCAGCCCAATATATTGACATTATCAGCCCTGACATTTTGTTTGTTGTAGAATGCATTCAACATTCCTAAAAATATCAACAACTTAGGTTATAGTCACTGTGTTCTGAATTTACAATTTAGAAAGTTAATATTTACAGGCCAAGATCTAACAAGATTTTTCACATTAAAAAAATTAGATTTTTTATCACTTTACATTTTGTATTCTTTCAAAATTGTATTTTTCATTTAAATTTGATTTTAGCATTTCACTGGATTTTTTTTTGCCAAAAGTATGGATATCACACAATTCAATTGAGCATTTTCTCACTATACGGATTTATGAGTTCTGATTATTTGATTACAGTATGAGTTCTGATTTAAGACTTCCATCTTAATCCAACCTAAACAAAATAAAGAAGGTTTGACTAAATGTATGTACAATATGGACTGCATTCTTCAACTAATTGTAAATGCAAAGATATGCTCCGAATTTATCACTTCGTTGTACAACTTCAACATGACAAGGAAAAAACAAAATAGAAAAAGATAACATACCTGGGTGGCTCATTTTGTGTTTTTTTAATCTCCTTGTCTGAAGGCTTTTGTTTATTTGAGCAAGAGAAGCAAACCCAAGCACGCTGGCTGTATTGTGAGGAAATGCTCACATGCTCATTATTTATAGGTTGTGTGTTTCCTGGTACACTGGCTGTGATATCAGGAAATGTAAAGATACTAATTTATTTAGAGGTGTATTATAAGTTGAATGTTTCCCGGTTAGCAAGATTAGGTGATGAGATAAGAAGGGCATAAAATAACTGTATTCTGAGGTGTCCAGAAGTCACTACTGTATATGATACACAGTATATCTTCAAATTAACAAG